CTCAGTCTGGGCGATGGAGTGAGACTCCAACTCAAGAAAAAAAAAAAAAAAAAGATTCGACTCCAAGCCACTGGTCACTATTGCTTTGCTGTGCCATGGTCTGATCGTGTGGCTCCTTGAGCCACGGTCGCCCTGTTTCCTGGCTTTGGCCCCCTGCCCTGCCTTGGGAAAGTTAATCTTCTCTCTCTCTCTAATTTACTTTAAAAATAAACTATATTTTCCACTCTAACTTCTGTGCAATTCTTTGCATGTTTCACATGACACCAGATCGCACCCCACACACCTACTCCTCTGGGAATCTGACCTCACATTTTTGGAGGCCCTGTCCCATTGGGTGGTTGTGACAGTTCAATGAGTTATGCAGAAGACATCTGGATCAGAGGCCGGCAGAAGGCACACGGTCATGGCTATGAGGGCGAGGTGGTTATTCTGGAACTCCCAGGCGGGGCTCTTGCGTCTCGCACCTACCCAGGCGTGAGGTGATCCCCTGAGACCTGTTTGGGGCAATGGGGTGAGGGGTGAGAAAGGGGCCCTGGGAAAACGTCCTGCAACCTTATTCTTCTTGCCCAAGCGGGAGGCCACGAGACACCCTGGAGGCAGAAGAGCAGGAGAGTATCATTTTTTTTTTTTTTTGAGTTGGAGTCTCACTCTGTCGCCCAGGCTGGAGTGCCGTGGCACGCTCACAGCCACCACAGCCTCCACCTGCTGGGCTCATGCGATCCTTCCGTCTCAGCCTTCCAAGTAGCTGGAACCACAGGCAGGTGCCACCACACCCAGCTAATTTTTTTATTTATCGTCGAGACAAAGTTGCTCAGGCTGGTCTCGAACCCCGGCCTCAGGTCATCCTCTCACCTTAGCCTCCCAAAGTGCTGGGATTCTAGGTGTGAGCCACCGCGCCAGGCTAGGATTTAGCCCAGGTAGGGTCATTAAAGGGAAGAGACACTGGGAAGCACAAGGCAGGACAGCCGTGAGGGTGCCCCCGTCTGCTGCTGCACGCTTTGTATTTTCGCGTCGGGGCCTCATTCTGCAGCCCAAGCTGGGGTGCAGTGGCATGATCATGGCTCACTGTATCCTCAACCTCCCGGGCTCAGGTGATCCTCCCGCCTCAGCCTCCCGAGTAGCTGGGACTACAGGCATAAGCCACCATACCCAGCCACCATGCCTGGCTCATTTTTTTGTAGAGACGGCGTCTCAAGCTCCTGGGCTCAAGCAATCCTCCCACCTCGGCCTCCCAAAGTGCTGGGATTCTAGGTGTGAGCCACCCCGCCTGGCCCTGGTGGCAGTGTCTTGGGTGGGGTTCAAGAGTAGGCCCCGGGGCTTCACACGGGCCAGCAGCGCCGGCTTCTCTTGTGCCCACCTGCGTGGCAGCCAGAGCGCTCTGCTCAGAGCAAACCAGATCATGTGAAGCCACGCCCGGGCCCAAATCCAGGCCCCTTGCCCTCCCCCGGCCGACCTGCCCGGCCTGGCCTCTGCTGGGGTTCCATCTCCACCCCTGCCCTTCCTCCCCGCCTCGGAGCACTCGGGCCACACCAGCCTCCTCGCTGCTTCTCCCCACCGCAGGGTCCCTGCACTTGCTGCTCCCGCTGCCTGGAATGCTGCTCCCCGCCTGGTCCCGGCCTGGTCCCGGCTCCCACATCGCCTCCTCGGAAAGGCTTCCCCAGCCGCCTCTCTCCAAGGCCTCGAAGCCCACGGGCTCCCTGAC